GGCCGGCATCCACTGAACCAAGTGTAGGGAAGAATAACTCTGGGAAATGGAGGGACATGAGCATGTCAGCTGCCGTTTCATGGAAACCCAGGATGTCTATCACTGTCATCTGTGCTTCTTCAGCCTCTGGAAGACAATTGTTCTCCCACTCTGCCAGACTTTGTTACTAGGAGCAGTGGAGATGTGAGGTCCTACCCATGACTGCTGCTTTGCTGCATCAGCAAGGAATCCCACTGCACATTAAAGGTCCCGAGTGACTTGTTCAGGATGTGGTTGTTGTGACAACTACCACAAGGACAAAATTCTACAGCTGTTTTTCCCTGCTGTGCAGAATAACCTGTCTTGCTCAAGGTTAACAGCAATCAGCTCATCTCAGCCAAACACTGTGTTAGTTCTGGTGTTGTCATCCTGTGGATCAGCAGGCCTGCAAAGCAGGAGAGTACTTCAGAAAGCATCCTGCCTTTTCAGAACATTTTATTTAAAAAAAAATGTTATCTAATGCTTCATTTGATTAAATTTTATAAAGTACACTTTTAAATTTAAAAGGAAGGAAATGGTATTCAGATGCTGATAGCGAAAGCTAGGTTACCCAAAGCCAGACTGGAGTAACCAGAAGAAAAGCTGTATTATTTGGGTAATGATTTAATGCAAAGCATTTTGTAAACACTAGAGGAAAACCACCAAAACTTGAGAATCTGGAAAGAGAATAGTGAGGCTCTTTTAAGAAGTAATAGCACTGAAAGCTTGAAATTTTGCTACGTAGGCAGTTCTGTATTCTGATCAACCTAGATCCTGCATTGTGAATGACATGGCTTGGGGTCACCTGTGACTACATCTCCCTGACCATTGTCTTGTTTGAGTCACGTTTCTTTTACTGTAGAACTACTTCAACTGCAACTCTGCTTTCACAGGATAGTCTAGTGCAAATATGTAACTCCCCCAGCTGACACTTCCACAAATATATGCTTCCCCCAACAGATGCTCCCTACTGTCCCTGGATATTGAGTACTGCCAGCAAGGGGTGTACTGAAAGTGGCAGAAAACATCCCATGCGTGAGATGTTATTTGGTGTCAAGTCAACCTCTCTGTCATTCATTCAACATTGAATCATCTCCTTTGTGGGAAAGGTTAGGCTGTATCTTACACCGTATTCTGTCTGGTTTTTAGTAGGACATAGAAAAATATTTGCTCTTCTTTGTGTTGCATCTACCAGCATTTAAATTGGCATTGTTTCTTCCAGTTGCTACTTGTTTAGTGCAGTGCAATGTTGGGACAAAAGCCTCTGTGAAGCAACTGTGACTGATCTTTATTTAGCAAGGACCTGGAGGATCACCCTTTGAGGTTGGAAAGTATTTTGTAGTACTGAAAAGCCTCCTATAGTGCCTTCCTATCTGAGCAACTTCAGCAGCTTTTCATTTGCTCATTCAAATAACATCAAGCCCAACACTGTCACGTACATACAAGTAATTACCTCTGTATGGAGTCTCAGAAAAGAAGACAAATCAATTTCCCAGGAGCTGCTGCAAGATTGCAACACTTTCAGAAAATTTTGTTTGGTTTACACGTTTACATTTACTAGAACTGCTTTGCTGGGACCTTATGCTTTGCAACTCTCATCCACTCAAAGCCTGGAATTGCCCTCTGTTCCTTCACCCTTTACCCATTAAAAACAAATAACATGACCCTTTTATATCCACAAAACAATGACACAGTAAAGACCTTTGGCTCCTGCCAATGCCAGAGTCCAAATCTGACTACAAAAAAATATTTATTAAAAAATTACTACAAAATAGCATTTACTGTTACTCCTGATCTCATTTTCCTTTCTCCTTGGTCTCTGCACAGTAGATTATGTTACTAAGTTAGAAACTTCAGTTGTCTTGTCATTGTACATAACATATGCTAGCAGCTGGAGGAGGAAATTTCATTGAATAATTACAGAAAAAAAGGGCTGGAGTGATCCTTGAGAGTCCATCCCAATGCTTGGTCTGGGTAACCCAGATTGTAATTATGTCTCAAAAACAGCTGCCTAACAGTTTTTAAAAGTTGGTGATGATGAAGGTACTGCAAACTCCATAGTCATTTTCATCTAGCACTGTCCACACCATTAGAAAGTCTGTTGTATGTCTAATATAAGAGGTGGAGAACAGATAATTAAATTCCTCTTTATGGATAACTTTCAGTCTTGAAGATTATGTTATACTAATCTTTTTTTAAGACTGTTTCTTTCAATTTTTCCTTACAGATTGTGTTTTGTATTCCTAGCCTTATTTTCCTAGCTCTTCAGTACAGCCCTCCTGAAATGTACCACACATAACTGGATGTGGTGCTTCAGGCTGAGGCTTTGCCCCTGGCAAACACAAAGGAAGTACTACTTATGTCTTACAGTTTTACACTTGCCAATAGCACACTGAGTGTCTACTTTCCTAGCAAAGTCATCTGCTGTATGATTGAGGGTCAGATTGAATGCTCCTCAGAGGGAAAGTGCAAACAATTGAAGGTGAGGAGGCTGTGCCAGGGTAGGGAGCTCTTGACTCCAATGTCCTAGGCTTGCTTTCATCACTCAGCCAATGGAACATGAAAAATGCAAATCAATTATGTAACTAATAATTGTGGAAGTTGCCAAGGGAAAAAGCTAACCCTCCAGTGGTTACAGCTAGCAACAAAATGACAAGGCAGTTTGAACAATACCTGTAGCCAGCTGTGTCTCTCCACTAACTATTCATTTAAGCAGTAGGAGACTTGGCAGACCTGTCTTCACCACTACAGAGACCAGAAGTGAAATGATTTTCCATTTTAAGCAGCAGTGCAAATAGCAAAACAGGAATAAATGCAAAAAGAGCAGAGCTCCCCAGTAAAATGGTTTGAGGGCTGTCTTCTTTTCTTTAAAAAAAAAAAAATCCAAAAAAAGTGTGAGGAAATTTAGGAGCAATAAGCTTAGGGGGTCTGGGAATTAATTAATTAAACTCTAGCCCTGCACAGCCCCTTGGAAATGAACTGGTGCTTGGATAAAACTGTTGTAAGACTGTGTAATCAGTAGCACATGTGGAAAGATGCTGAGCACCTCAGTCAGTGATGGTATGACGCAGATGCCAGCTTCAAGGCAGCTTGCCAAAAGTACTGTTGACAAAAGCATTACGTACCTCATACGTAGTATGAATTGGGCTGAGAATACAACAGAAGATGTTATTCAGAGAACTCATGCAAAGTCACCAGTAGTAACAAAAGCTAGCCTGAATTCTTCTATATTCAGAAGTACACAGTTGGGAACTAGCATCTGGGTTATTAAGAAACTAAGAAATGTGATTGGGTGCAAGATATAACATGTGAGCAGGAACTGATTTTCATCAGAGGTAATAAAACCCATCTGCCTACAGAAGGAGCTGCCCAACTCAAGATCAGAGTGGAGCTAAAGTTCTTCTTAAAAGGAGGCAGAAACTTGAGAAGTCAGAAAACTGAAGCGGCTGCACCGAAGTGCAAAATCACTGGTTAGAATCAGTCCAAATGATCTCTGTGCAAAAAGAAATAAAGAAACCATTCAAAGTTTATCTGAACTAAGATCATGCTTATATCTACTTGCTGTAGATACAAAACCTGTAAAGTACTAGCCAGGTACTAAGAGTTTCAGAAGGGCGTTAGAAAGTGAATACTATTTCTGAGGTGGGACTTTGTAGCTAGGTTCTATGAAGCCTACCTGCAAAGATGACTTTGCAACACTGTGATTAGAGCACCAGCTTTGTAGGCTACCCATCCTTTAACAACTGAAATGTAACATTTGTGGGAAGCCTGTAATACACTCAGATTGCTTTAGAGAACTATTTTCATTGTATGAATTACTTGCGGCATACCAGAACCCAAATTTTGGATTCCTTATGCTTTATCGAGGATTGCATGCAAAGCAACATCCAGCTTCTTAATTAGGGCTGAGCGGGTGTCACCCCCTTTCTCCACCAGCCAGTAAGCTTAAATAAAGGTTCTCAGCCTCCAGCCTTGCCCTGAGATTGGCGTGGGGAGCAATCCCGCAGGGATTTTGCCCTTTCCGGGGCAAGGCATGCCATCCGCCTGCGAGGCAGCCGACTGACAGCGGCAGCAGGGCTGCACCGCGGGGGTAGGTCCCTACAAGCACTCCTGGCAGCTCTTCAGTCAGAAACAGAAAGCACCGAGTTGCCAGAACACTCTGCCTTTAGGGGCAGCAAAAGAGCCGATTCCAACTATTTCACAGGAAGCCCTGGGCTCCGGACCAGACTACTTCTGGTTCTCATCCAGTCTCCACGCACTGGTCACTGCCACCCGTACAGGGGCTGAGAGAGACCTGCCCTTTTGGATAGCCCCCTTCCTTCTGGTCACTGGATGTGTGTTAACAAAGCGATGTAAAGCATATATACTGAATCCACAACTTCTGCCCTGGGAATGCAAAGAAACATAGATAGAATGGCACAGAACTGTGTAATACTACTATGACTGCTGAGTCAGCCGTGTAACTGTTCTGCCAAAAATATTGAAGAGGGTATTTTAAAGAGCAAAGTAGCTATTTAAGTCCACCCTGTCCCTTTCTGTTCTTCCACAGAGCAGGTAGATAAATGTTCCTGTGCCGCCTCAGGAAAGCTCATCCCGGGTACTGTTGCGGCGTCGCTGCCGTCCATAGGATCGTAAACCAAGGGGCAAAATCAGTGTCCTTATAGATAATAGTGAGGAAAAACTCTAAGGGGCGAGTGACCTGCTCGTTAACGGGGGAGAGCTGAAACACCCGACACAGGCGCTCCATTCTCCGGGGGCAGGAATGCTAATGGAAAATGCTGGCCTGCCCCGCCAGCCCAGCAGCCCTCCAAGGCCAGCGCGGGGGGAGACCTCTGACTGCAAGGTCAGCGTGGTTAATCTTTTCCCCAGATAATTACAGCCGGCTCGGCGCCCCCTTCAAACCGACTGCGGCTTTGCATCCTCCCCTTCCACACCCCGCTCCTGGCTCGGCCCCTCGGGCCAGCCCGCCCCGGGGCGGAGCCCCGCGTTCCCCAAAAGCCGCCGCGGCGGCGGGGAGCAGCGCTGGGATTTGGGAGCGGCGGGGTCGGCACGGCAGGACGCGGGGCTCGGGCAGGGCTCGGCGGTGAGTGGGGAGGTAGCGGCTGCTGCCGCCCTCAGGTCTTGGAGGGTGGGAGACCAGTTGTCGTGTGTCGTAGTAGTAGTTGTTGCCGCCCTAGACCCGAATACGCTTTAAATAGTTAAAACTGCTATAATCTCGAGTGTTCTGTGTGCTTAATACTCTAGCGATGTTTTAAACCAATATGTAATTCCATGTGGGACTTTTCAAACCTGTTTCCCGTCGGGGAAATATCGAGTTATTTAAGTGATACGTTCTTTCATGGAACCCGGGCTTTTGGGTTTAGTCCAGTCATGCTGTGGTTAAAAGAAAGAAGCCTCTCTTCTTTCAGCGCAGAAAGTGCGTGAATGAATCTCTGTATTAATTCAACCCAATGTCCTTTAGGGTCGGGTATCCCCTCTGTCATCGTTGATGTTCAGGGTATGGCAATGTGTATTTTGTAGAAGCAGTATCTTTCTCGTAAAAGTGGAGACCTTAATGTTTTCTATAATGATGGCTGGATTATCTTTTTAAGTAGTTTACCACTCACTCAGCTGATACAGAATTGTTCTGAGGAGACACTTACTATTTTTATTGATATAGGGAAGAAGTTCTGACTAAGAAGCAAACCAAGAATTTGGAATATAAGCGGGAAATGAGACACCTGAGGTCATGGGGCGAAATTACTGGATGGTGTGTCTTTTTGATTTTTTTTTTTTTTCCTGACAAAAACTCTACCTCTTTGCTTTATCTTTTTCTTCTTCTTCATACTTCTTCCTAAAGTATGGAAATCTTGAAGAAGGGGGCTGGAGATTAGAAACTGAAAGATTCATATGGCTAGTTCAGCATACTGGCAGGAGATGAGACTTGAAAGCCTTTCAGATGTGCAGATCTTGATCTTCACCTTGGGATCTGTCAAAGGAAGAGTGTGCTCTGACATTTTTACATTAGAGTATCCTATTTATATATTAAAGCTTCAACTAGTATTTGTAAATCTGTGTACAAATTGAAAACTTTATTTGACGGTGCTCAGAATTGCATAGAAAAAGTGAGTAGCCTTCATTGCCTAAGTAGAGTGAAATATGAAATGAACAGAAAAAGGATCTATTTTTGTTTTATTAGTGTAGTATTTGTGACAGATGAAAACTTGTTTTAGTATGTTTGGGGGGCTTAACTGTCAGTTTTGATGAGTTTCTCAGGAGTAATGATCAGGTGTTTAGCAGATAGTGGGCAAACTGAGCTTGGCCTTGTCTCTGCTAATTAAATGATCTGCCATGAATCATGGCAGAACAGGATTATGAGGAACTTGGAGCTGGAACTGGCCTCCCTCTGATGAAGTGTCACATCCATGTGGCTCTCCCTTCTTCGTATTGAAATGCTGGCATTGTCTAAGCCTGTGTGCCCAGACCTCTGTACTACACTGTTTCTGGCACTGTAGTGGGGTGACCTTAGTTGCCTTGTCTTTTTTTTTTTTTTTAATGGTGTTCTTTGCAGCAGTCTAAAGAATAAGGATTTCTGTGCATGTAGGTGTTGAGTATGTGAAATAGTGTGATTTTTAGCTTCTTTCCCCAGTGTGTCAGAAGACCCAGGTAACTCAATCATAAACTAAAGATGATTAAAGGAAAACTAGAGCTGCAGAAACTGTTCAGGCCTGCTGAGTGTCTGCAGCTCTGAAAATTCATTTAGGTCCTGGGTTATTGACATTTCTGGAGGAAGTGACTAAAGAAGGTTCAGCTGTAGAAAAGGCAGGGCTAAGTAATGGGTATATTTGTGATATTTTCCAGTTAGGCACTACAGGTGATAAAGCAGGGAAGAATAACAGGGAGTGTAAGTGCCAAGGGAAGTATTTTCAAGTACAGTTTCTCCCTAAAATTAATTGCCAAAAATAACTGTAGAATGCAGTGTTTAGGGGGATATTTTGAGGAAGGGGATAAATAAGATGTTGAGAGACATACTTGCTTTTGGGAAGGGCAATCTTGTATTGGCTGGACTAGTTTGGTTTTGAAGTTCTTATCTCTTATATAATTGGATTAGTTTAACATCTTGCAAAGCATATACCAGAGTTAATTATGAAATTACTTTGTCAAATTCACTAATTACAATTTTCATGTAACATTCACAAGAATGAATATTGTGAATACTGGCAGCAGAAATAGGTCTGAATTGAAGCAAAATGGTGTATGCACCCTTATTGTCTAAGTGTACCAGCTTAGGTCATGCTAAATAATGTTGATACCTGAAAAAAAGGGAAGTTCTGTAATGACTGCAGGATGTAGTCAGCTTAGTAAAAATCCTTGGAGACTATTCACCGCAGTGTTCCTTAACATTATGCCTGGGAGATAGCCTGCTTTAACCTTTAATGGTGAGGAGAGTGGTGGCCCCAAAAAAATAACAGACACTGATTTGAACCCTGATGCTTTTCTGTGATATTCCTCTCTTTCTTCTGTTTGTCAAATGTATTAAATGTGGTTTTTCACTCTTTTTTTTTTTTGCTCTTTACTCATGTTTGAAAGGCCCGTTTTAAATGGATGAGGCATGAAGTTTTTGCTAAGTATTAGCATGTATATTTATGACATGTACTTACAGTAGTGTTAAATATTCCTCTTTCACAGAAAGAGGAACCAATAATGCCAGCACTGAACTGGAAGCCCTTTATCTATGGAGGTTTAGCATCAATCACTGCAGAATGTGGTAAGTGTTTGCTTTAACTGTTGGCATGATTTTCTTTACTTGGACAGTCTCTATGTAAAACAAGTTTGGTTCCGTGCTGCCAGTGACACAGTGGTATGTGGTGGTCTGCAGCATAGGGTTGTTTTGCTTAATGCTGACTGAAGAGTTGCTCTTATCTCTGTTGCAATGTCAGAACACTTGTGTCTGTAAACTCTCAGCCCTGGTGAGTCTTGTTTTCTACACATATTTTGCCTTATATTGTTTTATTATTTGGTGTTTGTTTGATCTGTTCCTAGACAGTGGTCATAAGTAGATATAGCTTCTGCTTTGCTGCTGTAGATCGGTTATGCTCTTAACTTGTAGATTTTTCTCTTAGCTTTACTGAATATCTGTGTTGCAGTTTAAATAATCTTTTCCTGAATGTAAGTGGTTGCTTAGATTTGAACACTTAAATTCAATAGTGAGCAACACAGAATAATTGCTGTAGTGAGACAGCGCATCTGATGTTTTAGGCCTCCTCTATAGTTAAACCTTAAATGTAGAGTTGTATTTGAAATGCATGTATATGAAAATAAAGGAAATTTGGACTGTCATTGTAGCAGGACATCGTTGGGCATGTGGTGGGCTTGCATGAAAGGTCTGTCTAGTAAAGTAGAGGCAGTATCAAATTACACTTAAAACTACTATTTTGTTTTCATAGAGTAGTTTGGGTTGGAAGGTCATCTGGTCCAACCCCCCTGCTTTGGGCAGGGACATCTTCAATTAGATCAGGTTGCTCAAAGCCTTGTCCAATTTGACTTCGAATGGTTCCAGCGATGGGAAGGGTTTCTACTTAGGAAATTTGTACAAATTGGAGTTTGAAACCTGTCATTATTTGACTTGACTGAATATGGCAAATAATACCAAAAGCTTTTAAGGAAGACATACAATTCATGAAAACTTTGCTTGTATGGTAAGACTTATTTCAACAGATGTAGTTAATCCTGGCTCCTGTTAGTACTTAGGTGAATATGGAATATTGAGGTGGTCCTGTTCCTGGATGGATGCAGTTTCTGAATCCTTTCATAAGGGAAGCGTGGAGAATAGGAATTGAACATAACATAGAAGTAGGTTACAAGAAAGCAGTAACAGAAATAGATACTGCTATTTCTTTTTCAGACAGTAGGCCAGAATCTGTATAGCGTGTTCCACAGAATTTATTTGCCTTCAGTGACATCCTTTTCAATGGTGTTGGTACAATACACATGCAAACTCAGTGCTTGATTGGGATTGCAATGTCCTGTTCAGCGTGGCTGCTTACAACCAGGCAGTGCTGTGTTGCCTGAAAATATAGTGAATGTGAACACAGGAGGTAGGCAGGGCCTCTGACAGACCTTTAGAAGAAGCAAGGTGATAGAATGTGAATCACTTTAAAAGAAAGTCTTGGTAAGAAAAGCTTCTTTCCCATGGGTGCATTTTCATATATTATGATATATAATAAATGTTGCTGTTTCTTGTATGATATTCTCTGTTGTCTTTGGTTAGGTAGGTACTTCATTAATTTTCTCACTCATTTTCCTTTAAGGTACTTTCCCCATTGATCTGACCAAAACGCGTCTCCAGGTTCAAGGTCAAGTTAATGATGCTAAATATAAAGAGATCCGCTACCGTGGAATGCTGCATGCACTGGTCAGAATATGCAGAGAAGAAGGGTTGAAAGCCTTATACTCTGGGTAAGGTTAACTGAGTTGCAGAAATGGCTTATGAACAGTCTATTGATAAAAGTATAAGCTGATTGTATGAGAATTTTTGGGCTTCAGGATTGCAAGGTATTTGGCTAGCCTTAATCTGGAAGTTGGAAGACCCAGCTTTGATATCTTCAGTGCTGCACACTGCCATAGCATTTCATTAAAAAAAAAAACCAAACAAACTCAAACAAAACCTACATGAAACAAAATACCTAAGCATAAGTTTATTCTCTACAGTGCTGCTATGGTTGTTTCATCCCTCCAGAATTAAAATTGGATTTTCCTTTGTCTATAAATGAGCATGCTTTTCTTCAAAACATGCAGGATGGTAGGGGAACTACATTTCAGACAAGACTGCCAGCTATTTTATAGATTACAAGTTGAAGCATGGTCTAATAGTAATTAACCTCTTTACAGTTCATTCATGTTCTTGCAGGCTGTATTTTAAAAAACCCCAAAACCTAAAAAGCTCCAAAGCTTGTTTTGTTTATAGTGATTAAATGAGCAAACCTTTCTTTGCTAGATATCTCTGCACTAGGAAGAATTTTCTGATACGTTTTTGAGACTTTGAGCATAAGCATTATTGTTCCTTGTTTTTACAGGATTGCACCTGCAATGCTACGACAAGCTTCATATGGAACTATAAAAATAGGCACTTACCAGAGCTTAAAAAGAATGTTTGTTGAGCATCCAGAAGGTGAGTGGTCATTTTCTATTTAACTGAGGACTGATGTGCTTGAAGCCAATTCCATTTAGTATCTTACTGTAGCATTTCAACAAGCCTACCAAGAAGACCTTCCTTACACCTAACAACAATTACAGCAAAGTTAGTCAGCAAGGGCAGCTCATCAGAGCAGGTTTTATGGCTTCTGTAACTGGCTCTCTCTGGTCAAATGAGGGGAGGTATCGTCCTGTCTTGATGCATCTTAAGTTTTGTAAATCTGCATCTAAAATCTTTGTTTGTGAAATAGATGAAACCCTCATGATGAATGTTCTGTGTGGCGTTCTTTCGGGAGTAATCTCGTCATCTATTGCCAACCCTACAGATGTCTTAAAGGTAATTATGTAGAGCTTGTCTTTTAGTTTTTGTTCTCTCCTGAAGTAAAAACAGTCTCCTGATGACTATAGGATTTGTTTTGTAACCCTATTTGTTCTCATCTCCTAACTTCTAAAGAATCAGTAACATCCCGAGTTCCTGGAACCTCCTTGGGGTCTATACTAATTGTTTGGAAATATACATGAGGAAGGTGAAGGCTGGGGAGGTAGTTATATCCACATGCTTTTGAGTGTGGGGGAGAAAAACTTTGATGCTGTGGTGTTTGTGTGGAAGCCACACTGCATATTTCATCTGTACTTCTTGGTAACACTGTTACACTTGGATGTTGCTGGAGCTCAAAATAGGTGAAGATCAGTTCAGAGGCAAGAGTTCCAGTGAATGCTACTTGTGCCGTATGATTCCTTAATGCTGTAGAGAGGCTTTGCAAACCTGTGTTCCAAGGAAATGGCATTCCAGCATCAGTCATTTAAAGTGAATTAGTGAAACAACCACCTCTTTAAGAATCTGTTAGCGCAATGGTAGTCAGTTACTTGAAAGGGTTGATGGGTTCATCTTATAAAAGTGGAGCTTGTGACTTACAAAGCTGCTCCTAATGAAAAGGAAGTCAAGAAAACTCTGTTTTTCTGAAACTATTAAAAGGTTAGTCCTTCATAGTGCTAGTGTGGTTATGTAGTAGCATTTCAAACATAAGCTTGTATTTCAAGTGTAGCTTCAATTAGTTACTTCCTAAAATTATATCCACTTACCAAGTCACTTGTTGACAACTTGTGTATGAAAGTTACCTTGACAGGTTCCTAAGGATGATTTTATAAATCTACAGGGTTGAAGACCATGGTACTCAGTAGCTGAAACATAAATCTGTTTAACCTTTCATTTCAACATGTTCCTGTGAGAACACTGTAAAGGATATCCTGCAGAACCCATCTGCCATTCTTATCTAAATGGAGCAGCGTACCCGTACAGAAATAGAAGTGACTCAATGCAGCTAAGAATTCTACCACATACTTCTTCAAAATTAGCAGCTGCATTTGGATAGTTAAGGCAAAGGATTGCACTATAGTTGTGATAATGTCAGCTCTTGCTTTTATACTTAAAGAGAAATTTACTTTACTACTTGCAGTTGTATCTTAATAGTTGAATCTAGTTTTATTATTTTTCTGTTGTATTTATTTTTTAATTGTATCTTCTAATGAATCTCAGATCAGAATGCAAGCTCAAGGTAGAACAATTCAAGGAGGAATGATGGGCAACTTCATAGAGATCTACCAAAAGGAAGGCACTAAAGGATTATGGAAGGCAAGGTTTTTTTTTTTTTAACTGTATCTTACACTTCAACTACACTTCCTTGTTCAACTGAATGTCATGTATTCCTACAGTGTTCTCAGCAGAAATGTGGAGGGTGTAATGTCTGTCATTTGCCATGACTGCTTCACTGCTGATGTCTCAGTGCTTTTTGGTGAAGGGCTACAGCCAGCCTTGTGTGCTGTAATTAGCTGCCACTTAGAGGGAGGACAAATGTAGGGTTCACTTAGGGTGACTGGCTCTAGGAACAGTTCAATAACCCTTTGCATGACAACTCTCAATCTGTATGCTCTGTCTGTTTTAAAAAACATATGCTAAAGAACATTTGGAAGTGAAGGAGCTGCTGAGCATCCATCACTTCTAGCTCAGGAACTCTCATATTCAGTCATACAGGTTGTCTCTTGGGCCAATTATAGTCAATGACTGCGTAACAACTGAAAAGCCAAAACAGACAATTGATTTGAAACAGCTGGAAAATAGGAATGTTTTTCTGTTAGCATGCTTTTCTCACAAAGTTTCTTGAGGATGAACAGAAAACTGGAGAGCCTTACCTTTGTCAGTTTCTCAGCTAGCAGGAAAAGAACACTGGTTTTGAGGTTTTAGCTGACTGTTGATGCAAGAATTGATGTTAAGCAGAGGTAGAAAATAACTTAAAGGATCTGAAGTTGCCATTCTGTGTGGAGAAGTGATTTATGTTATTTCAGATTTGTGGTTTTGGAGCACATACATCTAAGACTTGTACTAATTAGCCTTATTTGAATTTGCAATGTTCTTGACACATTTGTGGTGTTTTGCTTTGTATTATAAGAGCTTGGCATTTCTAACAGTGCACAAAGGTTGACTTTAAACTTCAACTATATAATTTCTTTTGCCAGGGAGTATCATTGACAGCACAGAGAGCTGCTATTGTTGTTGGAGTAGAGCTGCCAGTGTATGACCTTACCAAGAAGCACATAATTATGTCTGGACATATGGGAGATACAGTATATACTCACTTCCTGTAAGTTTGTGTAACTGGTTGTATAGCTCATGATTAATTAGTTCTTGCTACAGGGGAAAGGAGTATTTAGATTTTTTATCATCTGTCTAGATGTGTACATATACTTCTGATATGTTTACAATTTTCAGTCTAATGGCATCTCAAATGGTAACATGGAAGCTAATTTTATTTAGCATTTGCAAATTAGCTTTCTTTTGCAATGTGGAAATTTGTTTTGTGGGTGGTATGAATCATTCAACTCTGCAAACTGAGGTTAGAAGAAATTTACAGTCAAATATTATTCCCTGGGGCACAAACATCTTTCCAAGCATAATGTGTATAGCAAATTTTCAAAATTATGTTTTTATAGTAAATGAAAAGTAACTTTTCACATCCATTAGCCGATTTAATTTTTTTAGTAAAAGTATTAAACAGTCATTATTACTGTGTGTTTCGTGGGAAGATGAATTTCTTGTACATCTGTATGGTAGATCAGGTTTCATTAAACCCTTCTTTTACTAGATCCAGTTTTCTTTGTGGGTTAGCTGGAGCCCTTGCATCCAACCCAGTTGATGTTGTAAGAACACGCATGATGAATCAGAAAAGCCAAAACCATGGGGGACACTCAGCCTACAAAGGCACTTTGGATTGCTTGTTACAGGTAAGTAGTTCAGGTATCATCATAAACAGAAACTGCTGCCACCAAGCAATGGTTTTGCTGTGGAGCTCAAAATTGTTCTGTTTTCCCTAGTAAATTAGACATGCTTTTTGCCATAATGTTTATAAGGACTATGCTGTCATAATGCACTCAGGTGTGAAAAGTATCTACTGTCTTGACAGAAAGGCAGGAAAGAAGTTAGTGTCTGCTGCAGAACCTTACTTTCTTTGGGTGCTTGGATGAGGAGAGGAAGGCTCTCAGCAGCAATCTCTCTTGCTCAACTTTATACTGTGTCAGGCTGACAGGAAATTAAAATCTCATAGGTCAGTCCTTGAAGGACAAGATCTTCTGAAACGGATGGTTTTCTGTGTTGCTTACTGCATAATGGAAAGCCTAGTACAGCCAGAGGCAAGGTCAGCCTCTGATTTTGATTACTTTGGTTTCTGGAGTCTCTAACTTTGGTATGAGGTGGGACCATGATGGACTTGTACATGGAGAAGAATGGATAGTAAGCTGTTGCTGTCCAGTTGTTGACTGAACAGTCCAAGTCACGTTGTCCAGGGGAATTTGAGGTCCATAAAGCAAACTGAAATATTTCCAGGGGCTGCCAAATGTTAGCTACAGGTTTACATGCAGCAAATTTCAAGGGGCTGTCAAATGTCAACTGCAAGTTTACATCTAATGAAATGTATTTCTTTGTCCTGTCAAACAATAAATTAAGGTTACAGGAACTAAGCCACCCCCTTGTCTGGTACAGTCTTGTTAGATGAGATGCTGTCTGGATTTCTCACTAAAAAAGAATTACATAAGTGTGGTTTGTTTTTTTTTTTTTCCTAGACATGGAAGTATGAAGGCTTTTTTGCTCTGTATAAAGGCTTTTGGCCAAACTGGTTAAGACTTGGTCCTTGGAATATCATTGTATCCTTTCCATAGGTGTGCAAAATGACTAAGTTAGCCATACAACAGCAAGTATTGTTTTTTTTACAGAATTAGTCAGTGTGGGAAGTGTCATATCAGCACAGATATTCCCTTTTTTATGAATGGAAAATTGTGCAGTTTACAGGTTTTTTTTTAGCCAACTGCTTCCAGTCAGATTGAATTTGATTCACACACAGTCAACACTAAAATATGATCTTGCAAAATAATTTTCTGTTCTTCCAGTTTCATACCTGCCCATTTTCTTTGTTATAGCCTAGTTTTAATCACAGTTGACCAGGTGAATTAGGAATGGGGGCTATTTCCAGAACTGGGGAAACTGTTGGCAGTTACTGATGCAATCTTTTTGTTTATCTTAGTCTCACAATTTTGGCTTTGTTTCAGAAGCCAGCTGATCAGAGCCCTAGGAAGTGGGTTGGTAGAAATGTTTTTTTACAATAAACAAACCTTCTTTAGCCCATCAAAGCTAAGTGTTTAAAGACTCTTAAAGGCTTTTGCAGTATTTTTATGGCAGCTTTTGCAGGACTGCCTCCACAGTCCTGGGTTTAAGGTCCTGAGGAAGATGGATAGGAAAGTATTTTGTATCACCAGCCTTTAAGCAAGTTTCATTGTTCTGCCTAGTATTGTGTAAAAATGTGACCAACCTGCAGCATGGCAAAGGAAGGAACAAGGAGTGGAACACAGCTGCACACAGATGCAGCTAACCTTCAGTAGTGAAGTGACCAGTTTTAACTGCATGAACAGGAAACAATTTTCCTTAATCATCTGTGCCAGTTCTTTCTGACATATGAGCAGCTGAAGAAATTGGACGCCTGACATGCTGAGCTGTGTGCAGAGTTCTCTTAATGTACTGGCTGAGTTTAGAGCAATGTGCAAGTTGTCTTGAGTGCTTGCTCTTTATTGTCTGAGCTGCTGGCCAAAGGAAGAGATCACTGCAAGACTGAATGAGAAGAACCTGGAAGAGATCACTGCAAGACTGAATGAGAAGAACCTGGAAGGGATTTCAAAGCAAACTGGCTCCTGGAACCATGGTTTGTGCACGTGATTCAGTGGCTGATGGGCACTGTTTTTCAGACTGAACCAAACATCTTCTGTCAACTGTTTCAATGTTCTTGAATGTAAAGATCCACAATGCAACTTTGTGCATCTGAGTCTCGAAGCATAGTGTTTTAAAAGAGTCAAAGAAAAGGGTTTTTTTCTTCTGTAGTTCCATAAAGGAAGGAAAAGAAAAATATTTCTGTAAAGGAAAAAAGTATTTCTGTAAGGGAAGATAAGCAGAACTGAGGAGTTGGGCTTTTCCTGCTTTCATAGCTTAAAGCTTCCAGTTAACTGGAAGTGTCACAAGACATCTTTGCTAGCTTTCAGGTTGGCAAAATAACTACTGCAATATAAAATCTGTTTCTGGTTTTGAAGCTTTCCGGTGTTCTAAGTCCTGAGATGTCTGCATAATTTTCTGGGAATAATCCAGCTTCATTAGCAAGTGTGGTTGCTACAGTTGACAGTTTTACATAGCTTGAAGAAAGCTTTTTTTTCTTCCATGTATAATTCTTGATTTCAGTATAAGTGCTTCTTAAACATATTCATATGGAAATTGCTAGTAGGAATGAAGTTCAAACAAGTTCATGCCCATCTGCTGATCTTGCAGAGAAACTTTCCATGCCTCTTCCCATCCTTGGGAAGAACTACTGGTTACTGTCAGTTTTACAGAGCAGGTTTTTACTGAGCAGTCAGGCTCTGTCATGTGGGTGCCTATTTGACAAGAACCAACCCCTCCAAAAGTAAATCTGCTATGAAGACTGCTTTCCTCCTTTAAAAAGACCCCCAAGTCAGAACTAGTGGATGTTTTCATATACCAAAGATGCTCAAGTTGCTGTTGCAAGGAAACACTTGATGTAGAAATCAACCAAAGTTTCTACAAGCATTACCTTTAGGCTTAAAGGTATATCAAAACTTCAGGGCCATTAACTCAACAGTTACATCAAGCTTCTTAAGTGCTGTTGTTGAATTCCAGGAGAAAGGAGTGTGTGAGATGCAAATTGTAGGATGGATCTTCTGTGTTTACAGAGGGCAGCAAAGCAGGATCCATGGCTTTGGATTTTTGTGGCCTTGTGTTAATATTTTACACATTTTTCATAAGCATTCCACTTAAAGAAGTTTCATTGCGATATCAAAATTGCTGTAATCACTTAAAATTACTAATTTTGAATTCACAAATAGAATTTTTAAATGCACAAGGCACTTTCTTTCCTAAGGTAAAACTTTTTCTATATATAGGGGTATGCTGATGTGCAGTGTTTCCCCTTAAAACTGTTTCTGTGCTTTAATAAGAAGTGTAAATATTTTTGTATGCTGTGTAAGTAAAGTATATGTTTTTCAAGCCTATTAAAAGCTTTGAAATGTAAAGTGTGGTGACTTAGAACTGCTTTCAGTTTCGAAGTTTCAAATGCTTCAAGAAGTTTGCCAGTTTGGAGTCACAGTAACTGCACTGTACCAGTTAATCTGTGGGGAAGCTGCAGAGGTACAGCTGGACAAGATGGACTGGAATTGGCTGCTCAGTCCCAAAGGCAACAAAACAGTGAAATAGTAGTTGAGGATCTCAGCTGGAGCTATGAGCCAGGGGCTGTCCAGGTGGCTGAGAAGGCCAGTGGCATCCTGGCCTGGATCAGCAAGTGTGGCCAGCAGGACCAGGGCAGGATTGTCCCCTGTGCCTGGCACTGGTGAAGCTGTATTTCAAGTGCTCTGTCCCCTTCTGGGCCCCACAGTTCGGGAAGGACGTTGAGGTGCTGGAGTGTGTCTGGGAAAGGGCTGGGGCAGGGTCTGGAGCACAAGCCCTGAGAGGAGGGGCTGGGAGAGCTGGGGCTGTTCAAGCTGGTTTGGAAAAGGAGGCTCAGGAGGGACTTTACCACTCCTAAAACTGCCTGAAAGGAGGGTATGGCCGGGTGGGATTGGTCTCTTCCCCCTGGAAACCAGCGACAGGACAAGAGGCCAAAGCCTCAAGCTGCACCAGGGGAGGGTTAGATTGGACATCAGGGGCAGCTTCCTCTCAGAAAGAGTGGAGTCACCGTCGCTGGAGGTATTTAAGGAATGACTGGCCGTGGCACTCTGCCATGGTCTAGCTGACACGGTGCTGTTTGGTCACAGTTGTCCCGGGCGATCCCAGGTCTTTCCCAGGCCAGTCTGTGGTCCTGTGGATCCTCCCAGGCGCCAGGGAGCGCCATCCCGCCCGGCCGCCCCTCGTGACGCGCTTCTCTGCCCCGTGCCCATGACGCCGCTGCCACGCGACGCGGCGCGGCGCGCTCCGAGCCTCCCCCGGAAGCGCCGCCCCGCTCCCGGCGTTCCGCCGCGCTCCGGGCGCCGCTCCCGGCCCGTCCCGGCTCGGCCGCCCGTCCCGCGGGCGGGCGGCGGTGACGGCGCAGGGCGGCTGGGCCTGCGGGGCCGCGGCCGCTCCCGGGCTGAGGGGCTCCGCCGCCTTCGGCGCTCCGGGTCGTGCCCGCAGCCGCGTCCCCAAGCTGCCCCCTCCCCCGGGAGGGATCGAGCCTCTGGGAGCCCTCCCGAGCAGCCTCGTGCCGCCCGCCCGCCCTGTCTGGCAGGGTTTGTTAGGCAGCGGCGGGAGCTTTCCCTGGGAATCCACGGGCTTTCGCTGCCCGCCCTCGCTGCTGCCCTCAGTCCTCCAGCATTTGTCCTGCGGAAGTTGGGAGCTTCAGTCGTGGAGTTCATTCTCTTGGTCCTCTTAAATTGATCCTTATTAATGCATAGCTGCTGGCGCCAACGTTATTTCCTGGTATGAATTGCAGGCTGTGAACAAACTGAGGAAAGCCAGGAATAGGGATAAAAAGCTTCATAATTTGTCAGCACCATAGAGGACTTGGTCTCCCACGGTGTAAAATTCCAAACTCTGACAAGGTGATTATTTATGAACACTCCCTTGTCAGCAAAGGGAGGTGGAGCAGAATGCTTGTGTTCCTAAGTGCACTTTTCAGGAGGGGGTTTGTATTTAAACAAGATCGTAGTGTAAGATATGGTGCCATAAAGTCAACAAAGCTTGCTCTCAGCAAGTGTCTGAAAGCTCAGAACTGCAAAAGAGAGAGTGTAAAGCAATTCCTTCCTCAAATACACCTGTTTCATTTAATCCTTCCTGGTTTCTTTTTTTTTTTTTTTTTTTTTTTTTTTTTCGTGTAAGCAGAATGCAAAAAGTAAATATTGGCAGGCATCCAAAGTGATTGTTGAAGGATGTCCTGCTATCAGAGGATGTTCTTATTTGCAACAAGGCAGATACTGTATTTGCCAGTGAGGACAGCAGCAAAGCAAGACATTGAGTTCTTCAGAGAGCTGGGACAGTGTTGTCTCAGCTGTCCGAAACAGCGGGCTCTGGTGGATTCACCTTTCCCTCTGTATTAGACACCAGAGGAACCCTGGCTCCCCTGCCGGGGTCAGCCCTGTTTTGGGGGCCAGGCTGGAGAGGTGTGTGGAAGCTGGACAATGTATGGCAATCTGGTTTTTCTCAAATAGTTGAAATATTGATGGCTCTATTTTTGTTGGACTAATACTACCAGGCAGGGAATATTTTACTAAGCAAGTTGTTTTCTAGAGAGATACCAATTTGTAGTTAAGCAGTGTTTTCTGGTTTTACCCTACTGATGTTCTCAGAAAACATACAATTCATTGTCATGTAATTGAAGAGGGTATTATATTAGTTAAGTGTATATAATAGTATTTTTCTTCTTGAATTAATTTATTCCATATAGGCTATTAATAGTATCTGGTCATACTTAAATACAATTTATCTCAAGTTAAATTTTCCATGTTTTTCTTGCTTAAACAAAATAATTGTGGCCAAAAAAGGGTTCCTGTTCAGCAGATCTATTTGTCTTCTGAATAAATTATGGCAGCAGTCTTGAATTTTCCTTGAATGTCTGGCAAAAAAACCTGACAGTTCCTGTGTGGTGTTTCTAAATGTATGGATGTTGTTGGTGTAATGGTTGGACTCAGTGATCTCAGAGGTTTTTTCTAATCTTAATGATTCTGTGATTATCATATTGATAGGTAAAATGTCTGTTGCATTTTTTTCTTTGAAAGTAGAAGCCTGTAGTTTTCTCATCTTACTGCTTTGGATTGCTTTATAGTTGAGCTGCATTGTGAAGGGATTCTCAGTGAGTTACCTGACCAAAGTTTGTGGTGTTTTGTGAGCAGCTGCCCATTGAGGACTTGTGCAGCCTGACGTCGCAGTCGCTGCCTGTTCTGCTGCCAGCTGCGGTGCCAGAATCCACTGAGGATGTCCTTTTGAAGGGATTTGCAACACTAGGGATGGAGGATGAAAGAATTGAAACAGCACAGCAGGTAAGTGAATGACCTCCAAGATGCAGTAATCTTCAGAGAATGCTGTTAGTTTCTGTGTCTCACCTAGCTTTTGGCGGGTTTGCTAAACCTTTTGGCCTGTTTTCAAGATGCATAAGGGGGAACTTGGGGGGAAAACAACACTGAAGTCTTAGCTCTGAAGTGACAGGTACTTTTTGCATTTGGAGTGGAGTTTAATGTGAGGATAAGGCACCCCTTCAGTAAAGTGGTGTTGCTCTTGAAGTAGAAGAACACCCACTATCTAATGTGATACCTTTGTTCTCGTGCAAATAAAGCCAGTTGAAAGCCAGTCTTTACCATTTTAACTCAGTGAAGGAATGGAGTATTTCAGTTGGAAGGGACCCACAGTGAGGAATTAGTTTCCTAGATTAATAACTGAATTCTGAAACAGCTCTGTTTTTAACAAAAGCTCATCTTCATTTCATAGATCATAGATTTGATTTTTTTTTAATTGATTGCATGTGATGTCTATATTGTTCACACCATAAAATCTCTTCTAGTTCTTCTCCTGGTTTGCTCAGGTGCAAACACAGATGGATCAAGATGAAGGTTCCAAGTATAGGTACGTGCTCTTCCTCAGTTCTTTTCACTATAAGCAGTTCCACCCTTGAAGGACTTCATCTTGTCCATTAATGTTACCACGTGTTCACATTCAGCTGGTGGGGAGTGGGGGAATGTGTTGCAGCAGCTGAGGCTTTCCAAGGCTGTGTGCCTGACTCCCAGAGGCCATTGCTCAGGTGGCAGAGCAGTTAAAGAAGATGCAGATTTCCTTCTGAACTGCCCACTGTATTTAGACAGATGGAAATTAGTTTTGGCTTACAGACAGGGCTGTAGACAAAAGCATTCTAAGAGCTTTCCTATATTTTTCAATTGCTTCTGCTATTGGAATGGCATCCTCTGAGGGTGAGACTGTGTAAGCAGATGTGGCTGGTGGTCATTTCTGTTCTCACCATTTGGCTCAGACTGTGACTGTGGTTGTCATTCTGTATCTGCATTCCCTGCATTCCTTGACACTTTGCTCAACTCCAGTTTTGAGCCTTGCCATTTCATCTGTTTTTGTGGAACTGACTTTCCCATCAGGCTCAGAAGAACCCCTTCCCACTGACTTCAACAATTACTCCTTGGGAATCTGAAGTGCAGCTGAATGACTTAGCTAGATCTGCTCGTGGCCTTTTACAGAAACTGGCTTCTGTTTTGAGACTTCACAAACTTGCCCTTGGCCACAAGGAGATGCTGCTGTATTCCCTCTTCTGTTTTTCCTCTGCTTTTCTTTGGGCTGTTTCTTTCTCTTTTGCTCTGACATTTGAGGACGTGACTTTTCTTAAAAGCAGAGGGTGAAGCATAAACTGATCCTGTGATCTGATCATTAAGAACCTAAAAGGAGTAGCAGCCTTGCACTTTGTCAGTTGACATGTTTGCAGTGGTGCACACAGGTGCTCATGTGTGCCATGGATGCACAGTGGTTTGCAGAATGAGCAGTATGCTACTGTCTGCAGGAGGCCAAAGGTGCAGAAGGAAAATGAATAATTTCTTTGCCTGATGTGCATGAATATAGGGAATTGCATTACTTGCATCTTTGTACATGGTAAAGTAGAACTCTGAAGTTTTAGCTGACATCCAAGAGTAATTGATTTTTAATATGCTTTAGATAAGCTGAATGCGTGACATAACATTTAGTTATCAGGTAGAGTTTTTATCTGCATTGAGCCTTGGATGAATCTGGTGACATTAGACACCGGATCTATTTCATCTAAGCCTCTTTCAATCCTCACAGTAAGTTTTAAATCCTCTAGATAATTTCAGCTACTTCAGGAGAGAAAAAGTAATTTCTAAATGGAAAGTGACAATGATGTAGAAGAGACCCAAATTAACACCGCTGTTGGGAGCAAGGCAGGTTGAATTTGGCTGCTTGCAGAAGTCAGTGTGTTTGTGCTGCCCATTTAGACTGTATTCACACCCTCCAGACCAGCTGTGTGGTGCAAGCTGCTCCTTTCCAGGCAGGCTTGCTGTAAGGAATGTCAGGGAAATGGAGTGGGTATTCCAGACCC